TTTGCACCAAGTGCCCAAATAACTCCTGGTCAAATGGAAACCACACGTTCTGTTTCCTGAAAGAGATCGAGTTTCTCTCCTGGACAGAACCATTCGGGATAGCTTTGGCTATATGTGCAGTGCTGGGCGTCGTCTTGACAGCCTTTGTTATGGGAGTCTTTGTGAGGTTTCGAAACACCCCAATAGTGAAGGCCACAAACAGAGAACTGTCCTACGTTCTCCTGTTCTCACTGATCTGTTGCTTCTCCAGTTCTCTCATCTTCATCGGAGAACCGCAGGACTGGACCTGCCGTTTACGTCAACCCGCCTTTGGGATCAGTTTTGTTCTCTGTATCTCCTGCATTTTGGTGAAAACTAACAGAGTGCTTTTGGTGTTTGAGGCAAAGATCCCGACTAGTCTCCATCGTAAATGGTGGGGATTAAACCTGCAGTTCCTCCTGGTATTTCTGTGCACGTTTGTCCAAGTCATGATATGTGTGGTTTGGCTTTACAACGCCCCTCCTTCTAGCTACAAGAATCATGACATTGATGAGATCATTTTTATCACTTGCAATGAAGGCTCTGTGATGGCTCTTGGGTTTCTTATTGGCTATACGTGCCTTTTGGCAGCAATATGTTTCTTCTTTGCATTTAAATCCCGCAAACTTCCAGAAAACTTTACAGAGGCCAAGTTCATCACTTTTAGCATGCTTATTTTCTTTATAGTTTGGATCTCCTTTATCCCTGCATACTTTAGTACTTACGGCAAGTTTGTTTCCGCTGTTGAGGTCATAGCTATACTGGCATCCAGCTTTGGGATGCTGGCCTGTATCTTCTTCAACAAGCTCTACATCATCCTCTTCAAACCCTCCAGGAACACCATCGAGGAAGTCCGGTGCAGCACAGCGGCCCACGCTTTCAAAGTGGCTGCCAAAGCTACACTGAAACACAACACGGCTTCAAGAAAGAAGTCCAACAGCATCGGCGGATCTTCTGCCTCGAGTCCGTCCTCATCCATCAGCCTGAAGACCAACGGCAACGACTGCGACCCGACTTCAGGGAAACACAGGCCGAGGGTGAGCTTCGGCAGTGGAACAGTTACTCTGTCCTTGAGCTTTGAGGAGTCGAGGAGGAGCTCTCTGATGTGATAGCGTATGAGAGGGTGTTTTAAACTCCATTTTCATCAATCCCAGTTATTAGGACTGTATTTTGGACTTTATTTTAAGATTCATTCACATGTAGATCTTCTCATCTTTTATTTTCGTCTTCAGATTTTGGCAGACAGGTGATGTGTTGCTTGCAGTATCAGTCCAACTGTGTAAACTCTCCCTGAATCCTGTGAATTTGACTATTTTCACCACAAACCTGATGTACAATAACTCCGCTAATAATAGTGAAATATTTTGTACAATTAAAAACATTGCATATAACAGGTTTGATGTTTATTCTTTAGAGCTCTTGGGTCTTGGGACTGCAGACTCATCTACAATGGAAGACAAATCCTCTCTGATATCTGTATTTTCAGATGTAACTAATATTGTTATGGCATAATGTTCCCACCTCAGATAGATATTCTGTCTTTTGCAATATTAAATTTAAGATTTTTGTTTGTTTGTTTAAATATTCTGTATTTCTTTGATTCCCTCCAGACAAAATCTAATTGTTTGTTACATTATGTTGAAGAATCACAAGTGTTTGTGGTAATAGAACCATAAAAAGCACAACTCTGTAGCTTGTAGTACAGAAATTACTTGAAGCATCATCCCACTATATTACCTATGATAAAATGCCAGAAAAAATTGCTCAAATTGTCTCAGAAATAAATACTTGGAGAACCCGTGAACACGATAACAGAGGTCTACAGGGCATTTTGGTGTAGATCTCTGAGAAAAACTTGAAGCTTGCAGCTTGCTTATCACAAGTCTCTGACAACTGCAAACAGTGCCGGCCTGTCTCACATGTTAATGTCATTCTTGCAATAGGCCTTGACTGCACAGTCTTTACAGTATGTAGGAGGTACAAGAAGGAAGAGGCAGCTGCAAAGTGATTGTCAACTGTAAAGAAACCAACAAACTTTCCTGACTAGAGAAAACAAGTGGACTATAAAGCAGTAATTTACCAGCAGGATTCATGTTTATTATAGCTGTTCAAAACTGCCAATCTATGTACCTAAGAATATACTTTTAAATACTTTGCTGATAATACCTGTGGATTAAAATATTTAAAAAATTTAGCACATCCCAGAGTAACAGCTAAAAGCTTCAAGGAATCATTGGAGCTTTTTAACGTCATTGTTTATAGGTCTACTGTATATAAATTATGATGCATGGATGGATGGAGCTGGTTTTTAGTGGTAGGATGCCATAGAGGAAGTCGCTTCTTGTTGTGTAAAGTAAAGTACATTTTTTAAAGTACCGTACTTAAGCACAGTTTTGAAGTACTTGTACTCAATTTATATAACTTTATACTTCCACTGCATTAAACTTCAGAGGCTAGTAAAGGCATTACTTTCTATTCCACTGCATTTTTTGATGATTTTAGTTACTTTCAGGATGATGATTTTACACTATGGACAATATAACACACTTTTAGAACACAACATATTGGTAAAGATTTAATAATTTCATTTTTGTGGTCTTTTGATGTCCTAGTAAAAGCAGTGTGTAATCAGGATCACATTTCAGGTGTCGTTGAGTTTTAAACAGCTCCACCTCCCCTCTAAACATCTCACATTATTTTATTACAATAAATTTTCCAATAATCCAATATCTCACCAAAAATCAAAAGATTAGAAAAAAGTCCAAAAACTACACACAGATTTCTGTATCACAGCTTTGTTTTTCTTCTTTGATGTGCTTCCCATTAATCATCTGGTGACTGCTCAGATTTATCTGCTGTCTCTGTAAATAAAACTGCACATAAATTCAACAACAAACTGAATCCACCTGCAGAAACTACAGCATGCTGCTGGAACACTGATGATTCCGTATTAATGATATAATAATCCTGTAAAATGTCAGTCAGAGGAACTAAACCAGTACTTTTAATTTAGTACTTTAACTATATTTTATTGCTAATACTTGTGTATTTTATTACAAGTAGGGTTTTTTTTAATGCAGGGCCTTAACTTGTAATGAGTATTTTTACATTGCTGTATTTCTTTTACTTGTATAAAGGATCTAAATACGTCTTCTACCACTGATCAGTGAGCTTCTTGAGGGTAGAACTTATTCGTATTACCATGCAGCATGAAATATCGTGAAAATATCATCCATAAAATGCAGCACGGTGGAGGGAGCATCATGATTTGGGGCTGCTTTGCTGCATCTGTGCCTGGAAAGCTCACCGTGATGAAATCCCAAGTTTATCAAGGTATCTTACTGAGTAATGTCAAGGTAACTGTACATCATCTAAACTTTAGTCGAGTAGTCGTAGTGGGGTGCAGCAGGACAATTATCCTAAACACTGAAGAAAAACTAGTACAAAATAACATTAAACTAACAAAATGTGCTTCTTGGAGTGGTCCAGTCAGAGCCCAGGCCTGAAACCATTACGGATGCTGTTGAATGACTTCAAGAGAGCCAGTCACACAAGACATCCAAATATAGGGCGGCTTCAACATTTCCATAAGGATGACCAGCCTTATTGACTGTTCTGCAAGTCTTATCCGCAGCTACCAGAAGTTTAATGTTTCTCCTGACTCTATCAGCTGTTAAATCAAAGGGTTCGCTTCATTTTTCCAGCAGCACTTTAAATGCATGATGGTGTTACGATTGTTTGTGTGTTATTAGCTACAGCACATTTGATTTGTCTATGTTTGTGACTTAGATGAAGATCAAGTCACATTTTAAGATCAGTTAATGCAGAAAACCAGATAATAAGGAGTTCATCTACTGTGTGAACATGACGACCAACGCCTGGATATTTTTAGCTCAACAATGCCACCTAGGAATACACCTAAGGAACTATTCCTCAGGAAAAATCTGAGGCAATATCTACCATATGCAATTGAAGAGAAAGTTAATCCTCAACTCAACAAATTTTAAATTATAACATTTTAAAACAGACAGAATTAAATGAATCTTGAGTAAATAAAAAACACAGTTAATTAGGAAAAGACTGCACATTCTATGCTGTACACTGATAATCAGCTCAATGATAAGTGATATAATATGCAAAACAGCAACATGTAAGAGTAAGTTATAGTCATCCCACTGTTGGCCTTAATATTTGTTGAATTTTTAGAGGATAAAAAACTGTCAGCAACCGAAGGAAACTACTATAAGGAAGTATAAGTAGGTTAGAAGGCACTTGTGGGGTGTCCGTATTCAGGATCATGGCTGACCTGAACCAGGCTGCAGGAGCAGCTGGACAACCACCTGCTCTGTGAACAGGAGGAAAGAACCTTTATCCTGAGAGGCACAAATAAAGCTCAGCAGCAAGATCAGCATGTTGTATGTCTGAACTATGGGGTAGAATGAGATAGATACTGGACAACATGACCAGGAAGCATTGCATGCTGGGAACATCTGGCACAGCCCTTGTCCAAGCTAAAAAAGAAAAAAAAGAAGGAGGAGGGCTTCCTTCTGCTATAACCCCCCACGGTGGATATATCAAGTGGGTGTTACCAAAATACAGCCAACTTTGGCGACTTTTATTTTGAAAGAATTCGTAAACGTGCATTGTGCGTCTAACTTTACAGAAATCTGATGGTGGATGGTTTTACTTTACAACTGTAAGAAAAGGGATAAATGGGAAGTAGACAAGAGTTTCAAGTCATTTTGATTAAGAAAAAAATGACTCTGTTAGTAAATTTCTCCTTTTACAATCACTTAAAACTGTTAAAAATCCATTTGTGGTCGTGGTGAAACTTTTCGTGTGAAGTTCCTCCGGCTGCAGTGTGTGTGTGTTTGTGTGAGCTTGACCGAGTGTTGTGAGCTGCTGCTCTGATTATCAGGAGTAACGGTGGCGTTAGCTTGTATAAGGTAAGATGTTCCCACCAAACCAGTAACATTAGCTCTGTGACAACAAATCGTGCTACTGGTGGCTGTTTTCCTGAACTAACGCCATACTTCGTTTGACTTCTGCGATGTGTGGCTGCTGTGATGCTAATATTTAACTTTTCTAGCACTTTATATTAACTCCTGACCGTTACATCCGCATTCGTCAGCTAGCTAGCGTCCATCTGGGCACAGCTCTACAGACACTTTACTGAACAAATGTGAACTTTTGTAATCATTAAACAACAAGCAGCAGCAGAAGAAGGAGCTGACAGCGACGTAGAGGTAGTGTCCTCGCAAGAGTCGGTTCATATTAGTAACGGTACATTATGTCACAAGCTAGCTAGCGTTAGCTTGTCTCTATCCACAACATGAACGTGAACACACAGGAGAGGCAGAAGCTGTGAGCAAACTAAAGCTAATTAACGGTAGTTTTAAGGTGTAACGTGGCTTTAAATCCTTTTTTGTCTGCTAGCGACAACATCCAAGACTTGACAATGGTGTCTGCTAGCTAGCTATAGAGATGTAGCGCACATGTGTTTGTTTGTTGCTGGTACGAAAAATGCAAATAGAGCTGAAGTAAAGTACAGCATCTCTACACAACATCTGTCGTTGATAAAATGAAGTGAGTGTTGTGTATGAGGAAGTTATATTTTTTGGATAAGACACTGATATTGGCCATAGTTGCCTGATTTAGAAACTCCAGAGTGTCCCTTGATTATGCAAATGTTAGCTCCAGTGCTGAAATCGATATAATTAACTAGCTAGCTAGTGTGAAGTTAAAATACATGATGTGAGTTTTGGTACAGATTGTACCAAACAACTATGTTTCCTTATGGATGGAAAAATGTGGGTTTTTCTTTAGTGGGCATCTCTGTAGCTAGATTTCAGAGTGGCACATACATTAACAGATGATGTAAAATGATGACAGGGCTATATCCAGTTTTCATTGTGTGTATGCTTTTGTGTGTTGAAATGTGTGGTGTGTGTATATATACATATGCTATATATGTGTCCACAAATTATACATATAAGTGTGTATATTGTCCACAATGCTCCTTTTGTAGTATTTTTTGTGACACATGTGGCCTTCATCAAAAATTGTAGCTCCTGCAATTTGGGTTTTGCAATGTACATCATATTTTGGTGAAGTGTTCAGCCTTACTAGCTACTTTATATGTTTGACAGTCTTAAAAATGTTTATCTGACACAATAGGCAGGCATGTTCTTTATCCAGCAACAATAACTGAAAGAAAACTGTAGTACTAACGACTTCAAGTACACTATTCCAAGAGATATCAGCAATCACATGTGTGGATTCAGTTTCATGGTGCACAAGAGAGGGAAAGGTGAGGCTTTCCAACCTGGTGTACAGTTACTGAATGTAGATACCATTCAGGAAGCCTTTTCAGTAACTTGTTAAAAGATAAATGGCTCTGAACACAAAAGTAAAGACAAATAGGAAATTTGAAGACACTTAACTGGGAGTTTTCTAAGATAACATATCATTAGGTGTGTTGTTTTTTGTTGTTGAAATATGGAAAGTAATGGATATATCTCCAGGAACTGCAATTTTTGTAAAAGAAAATGTGTGTTAGATTAGGATACAAATACATCTTTTCTTGGAAGTAATGTTTTTTTTTTCCTCCAAATCTATTTACAGATTTTGGCCTCACCTCCTGAAAATGGACTTTGAGGATTCGGCAATGGATTTTCATCAATAAGTTCTCCTCACGTCACAGCGAGCATATGCTTTATATGCTGTGTGCAGTCCATCAACATGTTTTATCACCATGGGATGACTGATCAGTGAATCTGTGGCAGTCAGTCAATTTGCTGAAATGTTCTGCACAGAGGAAATATCTTAAAATATAATTAACATAATCTACTAAATAACAACATTCAACTGTTTTCACATCAGCGAAGTCACACACAGCCATGGGCTTTTGTTCACCTGTGTGCAAGATTTTGCGCAGGGGAAAGTATTTTGTACTGCTCATTCTCTCGCTATCAGTGCTGGCATGGATAGCAACCTTTTCAGGCGAAACTGTGAAATCTGTTCTGGTTTCTTCCGCCACAACACAAGCTCTGGTTAAAGAAGTCACTTTGAGGGACAAACTCAACTCCTGGACAGCAGGACCTGATCGCATAAATACTCAACCACTAAAAAGCGAATGCCCTGAAAAGTCACCATTGCTACGTAAGTATGCAGGAGGTCATACACTTACTTTGTACATATTTAGTTTTAACTGGATTTAACATTTCGGCAAATTGAAAGAAAAATGATCCTCTTCTCAGAAGTTAATTAAATCTGTCTGCTTCTGCTGCCTGCTTTCTAAATATAAAAGGTTTGTTTGTAGCCTGTTTAAAAAAAAAAAAAAGACAGACAGCAAAATCTGACATTACCTTTTGATGTAGTCGCTTACATCAGACTGTATCCAGTAGTAGTAATTGATTACACTATGGATGATTATTAATGGTTGGAAGGTTCTAAAAATCACAAGATTGAAAGAACAGTGAACCTACTGTTAACCTTGACCATAGTTTTTGTGCAAAAGAGTTTAATTCGATAAAAGCTGGCTTTTAGGAACTTAAAATGTGGCGATTTTCTCTGAAACGTTGATAAGAAAGAGAAGTCCCGCTCGCTGCTTTTTTACTGAATGCTTACTAAACCATGACCTGGATGACTGAGAAGTTACACAGACGTCCACTTGTAGATGCTACATGTCAGTCCTTTGTTTAACAGGCCGGCAAAGAAATAGTTTAAAATGACAAAGCTAGAAATGTGTTTTATGTTATTCATTCAGCAAAACCTCAATTAAACATGATAATTTGTTCATTATCTACTTTCTGTGCTTATGTGTCACATGTACAGTAGCGGAATAGTGTCAGACACAGATTCCTCATTTCATTTGTAAATGCTTTTTCTCCAGAGGGAGCTGTGAAGCTGTCCTTTGAGTCCTCTCTGAAACTGAAGGATGTGGAGAGTGACAACAAGGATGTAAACGAGGGTGAGTATGAGCCGTCGGACTGCGTGGCGAGGCAGAGCGTAGCGATCCTCATCCCGCATCGCAACCGAGAGAAACACCTCCTCTACCTCCTGCACCACCTGCACCCGTTTCTGCAGAGGCAGCAACTGCACTACGCCATCTATGTCATCCAGCAGGTATTCCTCTACGTCACGCACAGTTTTATATGAGATCCATTAGTGTTCAGGGCTCACACTTCTAGAATAGATCAAATTGGTTTATGATATCTGCAGTCATTTGTATTTTACTTGAGTTTTTTTGTCACTGTTGACAAGTTTCTGAAGCATTTTATCAAAAAGCTATTGCATACATCTTATTATTTGTTATTGTTGGTAATGATTGTGCCAAATCAAAAGGGGAAAACAAACTTAAAGGGATCCATCGTGGGAAAAATGAGCAACTTTAAGTGAAGATGTACTTTGTATAATAATTTAGTTGCATTACTTTAATGCTAACTCTCGACTGGAGCTGCATTTTTGTGATCCCAATCAGAGACATAGAATTTGACATTGAACAAACACTGGAGACTCAAAATGAAGCATCGTGTTGGTGTTCAGTGGTGTACAAAAATAAATAAAAATTCTGCTGAAAACATAACTAAATGTGACAAAACATTTTCACACACTTAAGCAAAAAAAATAAAAACAAATAAAATCTGAAACCGTATAAAGTTTTCAGGACTCAAAGAAGATAATCACTATTCCTGAATTGCATGCTTGTGTGTGATACAAGTGTGTTTGTACTGTTAGTGTGCTACAGACACACTTGTGTACAGCCACACATTTAGCCAGATTACTTGGTTTCTCTTCCTCTATAGTTTATTGAACACTTAGTTCTCTTTAAGTTCCTGTGTGGTCATCTGTTTTTTAACTCAGACAGTGTTTGGATTTTATGGCGGTCACATAAATGTCTTTCAAATTCACTCATTTGCTCAGCATTATTTTTTCATCTAATAGCATGGCTATAATTGGGCGACTCAAATAAGTTCCCTATCAAAAAAATAAATTTTTCAGCACCAGTAATTCAAGTTTATTGTGTTTTTTAAAATGGTATAAATAAGAAAGACACATCAGCTACAACAGGACAACACAGACCTCTTTTAAACTGTACACAGTCCATAAAAAACCACAGCGTATTACAATTTTAGTGTTTCTGTTTTGAAAGGCTGGTGATGCAACTTTTAACCGTGCCAAGTTACTGAATGTTGGCTATTTGGAGGCTCTGAAGGACTACAGTTGGGAGTGTTTCATCTTCCATGATGTGGATCTGGTTCCCGAAAATGATCACAATCTGTACGTCTGTGACAAGCAGCCCAAACACTTGGTGGTTGGCCGGAACGCGACAGGATACAAGTACGTATATAACTATGAGTAATTTCCTGTAAGCGCTGAGTCAAGGGGTTAGCTTTATCCTACCCTTGTGAATAAAGAATGCTGTGTTAACAGATGGCAATTTCCCTCAGGCCTAATATTATCTCCAAAGATATCATCTTAAAGCAAAGAACTGTAATTTTGTACTCTCAGGCTGCGTTACAAAGGCTACTTTGGAGGAGTCACTGCCATGACCAAAGAACAGTTCCTTCAAGTGAATGGATTCTCCAACATTTACTGGGGTTGGGGCGGAGAAGATGATGACCTTCGCATCAGGTGAGACAGAAATAAGTGAGGTTATTGGTGCTCTGTTAAAGCAGGTGTAGTACCTTTTCTCTCATTCGTTCCCTAATACGTGCTGCTGTCTGATACAGAGTCGAGCTGCAGAAGATGAAGATTGTGCGGCCGCCTGCTCAAGTCGCCCGCTACACCATGGTGTTTCACAAGCGGGACAGTGGCAATGAAATAAACAAAGACAGGTTAGTAAATAGCAGAGGTGGGAACAATGTGTTACGCTCGTTTTAGTATATTGTAGATCAGTTAAGCGTCCTGATTGGTGTCGCTATTTTCAGCTTGAACTTTTTTTTTTTATTTGCTCTCCAGGATGAGGTTGCTAGGACGAACACCACAGGTATGGAGAAAGGATGGGCTCAACAGCTGCTCGTATAAGACTCTGTCAGTAGAGAGGCTACCTCTTTATGTGAATGTTACTGTGGACATTGGTAAGCCACAGAGTTGAGTTCTCAACAGGAAACCTTGCTGTGACCAAAAAGACGACAAAAAAAAAGAAAGAAAGAAAATCGGATATATTTTCCAGTCCAGGCCACTGAGTGCAGAAAAGCTACTCCATGTGTACAAGACGACTTTCTACGCACACAGAATGCACATTGTTTTGATTGGTTTACATATTCAAATTGAGTTCGGCTGCAACTACATCTGCCGTTGGCTGACACACTGTTGCATATCATGCTGCCTTCATTTCTGCATGTTGTTACCAGCCAGCAGAAGAAAACAAAACAGGGATGATCGGCTTTGGTTACCTAAGTTGGCCTTTAACTGCCATTCCCGATATTTGAAACGTTTTGCCAAAACATCCATTGATTACATGTTGACTTACTGACGCGTATGCCTTATTATTTACCTGCATGATGTACACAAATGGACTGTGTGGATTTTGTGTGCTTCATTATGTGGATGAATCGATCCACATCCTACAGTTGGCCAGTATCAGCTGGGACAGGCTTCAGCCCTCCGTGACCCTGTAGTGGATAAAGTGAGTGTAGCTGATGGATGGATAGAAACACTAAACTGAACGACGACACTCTAAAAGCGTCACTGTAGCTGTTTTTATGCACAACTCGGTGACAGACATAAAGCAAACAGTACAAAGGAACACTGTGCGAGCATTTTAACGAACTCCCGGTAGTCCTAGTGATGCTAGATATCAGAGGTCTTCCTCGTCTTAAAACTTGCTGATAATGTTAATGCTCTGTGTCCTTAAGCGAGTGTTAAATATTAAAATAAATATAACAAGCAAAATTAGGTACAGAATGATGATCTAGTTGAGTCTTAAGGCAGACGACGGATGTGTGCAGAAGAAGGAAAACTCAAGCAATAATAATATGTGGAGGACATATTGATGAACTCCTTTCAGCCTATTAAAAAGTTACAAGAGGGTTTTTATTTCCAGTCATAGGTCTTAGTAGGCACTGTACATTTTTGGCTGCTCGAAAATTAACCCAATTTAGTGTTTTTTCGCATTATATGCTAAAAAAAAAGAGACGCTGTGGGCTGCCTTTATTTACAAGAGAACCTTGACCACACGTGGATGTTACTGACCTGAAAAATAGTTTTTTGAGCCATAAGGATAACAACATGTTTTCTTATACTGCACGTTTTTATAAGTTTTCAAGTGGAACTTTATGGGTGGTGGATTATTTATTACTTTTACATGTTTAAAATGATGATAATTGTATTAAGACCAATCAATATAACTTTCCTTATTATATGTGAAGACACTTCATGTAGAAAATTCTGCTTTGATCATTGCATGCTGCTTAGAAATGTGTGTCTGACTGACATATCAGATTTGTTCAATGATTTTATGTTACTTTAAATGTGGCACAGCTGTTGCCACAAATACAACTTGTTTTTATTTATCTGACTAGCAAATGTTACTTCTTTTGAAGACTAAGCAATATTACTGACTAAACTGACTGATGTTGTTACACTCCTCCTCACTCCTCATTGTATATTCATGTTAACAGTCAAAATAGACTTTGAAAATAGACGGGGGGGCTGCTCTAAATTACAGAATTCCGTGTGTGAATTGTTGCACTTTTGATGAACTGAACTACTTTATAAATCTGCAGTTTGCTGTAGCCGGTAAGGATACAAGGTGTTGTTGGTGGGCTGATGGTCCGTTCATCTCACGGTTGCATCTCCTCGCTCCTGAATGTATGTTTCATTTTCCACTGTGGGTTTAAAAGTTTTATACACGGTAAACTACAACTTCTCAACAAGATTTTGCAAAAATGATCACAACCAAGAAAATCATGTGGTGATATTGTAGCATTTAAGAATTTGACTGACTTTCCAATACTTTCAAATTCCAAGTGAAACCATGTGAACTCTTTGAGAATGTCATGTGGATTTGTTTAGAATGTTTGTTGATTTCGGATGACTTGTCATGCTTTGTATGCGTCGATGGGAGACGACTGATCATGGTAGAGGAGGAAATTATGCATTTCATTTCTAATGGGATTACTTTCTCTTTAGAACACATGTATAATAAATAGTATTTTTTCCAATGAACTGTGGTACGACTTTGTGTTTTAGAGCAGGATGTTTCACTTTTGGGGCTGCAGGGCGGCGCAGTTGGTAGCACTGTTGCCTCGCAGCCGGTTCGCGTCCCGGTGGGGGCACCGGAATCTTTCTACGTGGAGTTTGCATGTTCTCCCCGTGCAGCGTGGGTTCTCTCCGGGTTCTCCGGCTTCCTCCCACACAGTCCAAAAACATGTTGAGGTTAATTGGTGATTCTAAATTGTTCGTAGGTGTGAATGTGAGTGTGCTTGGTTGTCTGTCTCTAAGTGTGGCCCTGCGATGGACTGGCGAGCTGTCCAGGGTGTCCCCTGCCTTCGCCCTAAGTCAGCTGGGATAGACTCCAGCCCCCCCGCGACCCTAGTGAGGATTAAGCGGTGTGTAGATGATGGATGGATGGATGTTTCAGTTTTGACTGTAGAATATTATAAGTTATGACCCTGAATGTAACACTGTTTTGATCCATTTGTGGCAGTGGCGTGACAGATGGATCAAAAATATTGACAAGGGCTATTTGTATGCAACAAATACTGTAATGTGAGCAAATGAAACCTCATGATCTTTGAGGGAATTAAGCAATTGATGTATTTGTATCATGTGGAATATATTGGCGGAACTAATTGGTACAATTAGATATTTGTATCTAATTCTAAAATAAAATTCTCCCTGCTTTGAATTGCATAAACAACCTGCTATGTAACAGTAATTTGTCATGCAGTTAGTGTTATTCTATGACGATAGCATGTTGCGTAACCACCATGATGGTAACAGGCTGCAGTGCAAATATCTGACCAGTGGAGGGTGTTGAGAGCACAACTTCCATTTGTGGAAAATGTCTTGAGGGAACTTTCTGGTCCTTGTAAATTAAAGAGAGATTGCTTTTATTGCCAGGCAATTTTCACAAATGCAGCCTAAATGCATCATGATAGCAACCTGATTAAGTCTTGTTTGGCTGGGGGAAGATGCCACACAGCACAAACATGGACCATGTGAAGGGAAAACAACAAATGTGACCTAATGTAAACTGATTTCTCTATAAATGAAATATTAGATTTCCCCGAGGAACCAAGGACAGAAAACAGTCGCTTAAAGAAAATGGGTAAGTAGCAATTCAATCTTCTGGTTTGTAAATGCACAGTGGTGTTTGTGTGTTCTGTAGTTTTAAGAGGACTTGGTGCAGGGTTTTTTTTTTTTTTTAAACTATTTCTTTAGCACTTTTTAAGAACAGAATTCGCAAAGTGTTTTGACAAAAAAATACAACACAGAGACAAGGTACCACAGGAAAACAACATGTAGAAAAAGTGCAGGCAAACTCAGAATATAAAAAGAAACACAATAAAAATGGAAAAGAAGAGGCTGGGTCACTGTTGGAAGGTGTGCTAGTAAAACTGATTAAATAGACGACATCACAGAGGGGAATTAAGATAAACGCTGAAGATAAAAGTAGATTAGGAAAGAGAGAAGGATAGCAGGCAGTACCAACATAAAAAGGGAAAAAGAAATGGGTGAAAATCTAAAAAAGAACATCACTCAAACGCGGGTCTATAAAAGTGGGTTTTAAGAAGTGATTTAAAAGAAGATACTGAATCTGTAAGCCTGATTTCTTCAGGTAGGTCGTTCCAAAGCCCTCACAGAAAAGGCCCGGTCGCCTTTGGATTTGAGTCTCAACTTTGGAGCGATCAGGAGGGACCCACCTGAGGATCTAAAATCACTTCTAAAACAGACAGGGAGCCAGTGGTGAGAAGCCAGTAAAGGGGAGATATGATGTCGCCTGTTAAAAGCAGTAAGAAGCCGAGCTGCTGCATTCTGAACAAGTTGGAGACGAGAGATGGATTTTTGTGAGATCCCAGATAAGAGGGAGTTGAACAGTGGAAGTTACTTTGTTCATCAAATCAATCCCTCACATAAAAGCAGTTTGTTCCTTTGTGACACATTGATGGTGGCAGAGATGCACAGTGGGAATCTAGACTTTGGCGTCCCAGACGTGACTAGAGCAGTACTGTAGCTCGGTTACCCTGCTGAGGGGAAGTCGTGTCCCTTTTTACAGCTACATCTTCACCATGTTTTCATTGCATAATGGAGACCCAAAAGAATTGCTTTTTTTTGTCACAATACAAGATTTTTGACTGTTTGATGGTCACACATTTGTTATATTGTTTGTTTTCTTAAATGACTAGATAGTTGCACTCAAATTATTGTTGAGATAATTTAATTAAACTGGTGTATGTAGCTCTGTCAGGTAAAGCCAGGAACCTGTGTTTTGGTGCTGATGGATCTGAAATTAGATTTTTATTTTTTCCATAAGCTGCTAATTTTCCATTTTAATTATTTTTTGTATATTTGTCCATTTTTAATATAATAAACGCATCAGACATTTAAAACAAATTTGTTTTACTAAACTGCTCTCCAGTAGAAAAGATTGATTGCCATTAAAAGTGATCTAACAAGTTTAGATGTTTGGCTTAGACTCTATGGTGTTATTTATGGTACAGTTTTACCTCAGGGATTTACAATGTGAGGGATAAAACCTTATAAAGTTGTATAAAACACTACTTTACTCCATTATAACACAGTTGAACAGTGCAGCATCAGTGATCATGGAGAGTATCACTGGGATCGCCTTGTTCATGTTCACAAACGTTCATCAGGCGGCGTCTATTGGTGAGTAACACAGTTTTAAATACATCATCCTCATTTTAGATCATCAGTGTTTTTGTGAGAAATCTTCTTTTTCCCCTCGTTGCATCATTTCCATTCGCTCACATTTCGCTGTATTATGCTGCAGATCTACCGAGACGTTGCATCACTCTGAGGACATTTTCTAAAAGTAAAGACAAGAACAACCCCTTATTATTCACGCGCACAATGAAACGTCTTCTGAGCACGGACGCTTCTTTTTTTAAATTATTGACCAATGCAAAGAGAGAGCGGGATGTCTGAGGCTTTGTATGAGCAGAATGATGTCATCTCCACTTCCTATGGGGCAGAAAGAAAGCTTTGTCTTGCTGAGGCCAGGCCTGGTCATCTAGCTTACATGTGACATTCACAAAAGATGTTTAGCACAAAAACATCAACTCCGTAAGTCTGAACACTGCGATGTGCTCTACAAACCGCAGCATTCAGATCCTCTATGAGAATATAAGTTTGTGGTGCTGCCAGTGTGTACTATACTGTTCCTGCTTGTAAACACTGTAACCCATGTGTGAGTGTATGAATCTACTCGTAAAGAAGGCAATCATTTATGGCATCACGCTTTAGATTAGACTTGTTGATTGACATAAAGTGCCTGCTAATGTTAAATTATCTTATTGCAGTAGCTCAGACCATCCCAGCAGCTCAGTGGTTCAGCTGTACAGTCGCAGTTTGTGCAAGTTTCCTCCCACAACTCAAAGTTATGCAGGTCAGTTGAACTGAAAACTATGTGAATTGTGAGTGTGCGTTATCAGTCAGGCTTCCTTTGAGCCATTGCATTCTGGGAAAAACTTCACTAATTTCTTGAATACATATACAGATAAAGTGCTTCATCTACTAACTTGAAACTAACCTACTTAAAAGCATGAATATTTTTATGCCGACACAGGATCACATGAGCGCCTGTGTGTGTGAAAGAGGTCATTTGTTATCACCCGGCTCTGCAATTTTATCTCAGCTCCAGTTTCTGCGTCTGACAGCTCATTGTTTTGGATTTCCAGCCTGTTACTTAACTTTGGTTCGCTCGCACTGTTCCTGTCAGCGTTTGGGCTGAAGCAGGCAGCTGTAGCAACAGATCTCTAATGAAACCACGGCACACTACCTGACCAGCATGAAATGGGAGACAGGCAATGTCCAGGTCACTTCCTGAGGAGCTAGTGGAGACCAAAACAGAGCTTAAAGGAGATTGAATGTTAAACTCCAAATCTCTCGGCACATCTGCCAGATGTGAAACTCTTAGGTAAAAAAAATGTACCACTTCACCTGAAAATTTTACATGTCGGCTGCTTGTTTTTGCTTTCCCTATGTGCCTGATATAGTTTTGCAGGTTTTCCCCTCCTTTGGTGGCAAGCACATAGTGGTTCTTTTTGCTCCGAAGCCAAATAAGTTTTTAACAAACATGCAAAGCCGGTTGGACATGTGGTTGGATGTCTGCGTACGGAAGCTTTTCTGACTTCAGCTGCGTTGAATTATATTTTGATAAATGTCTCTAATCCAATAAATCACTGCAGCCAGTGGTGGTTTGACAGTCATCCAGCAGGGGCAGATATGCTGCAATTAGTGATCGGGTCTTAAAATATCACTTCCCGGAAAGCTCAGCGTTTTATGGCTGTAAAATTTTCAAACCTCAATTTATGGAATTTGGGTTTTAGCTTCTAGAATTTCACATGTGAAACTGTTAGAAGGCTACAAATGTGAGGAATGTACCCTCGCTGCTTATGGAGTTAGTGTGTGATCATCCTCAGGCAGGGATGTAACTGGATCTTTACTCAAGACGTGGATGCAGGAAACATTATTTACTTCCCAGAGTACAATTCCAGAACATCAGTGCTACATGCGCTGCTCAGTTTAAAAAGAAAAAGGTTCAATGCATAGCGGTTAGTAACGAGAACCATGTGTTGTCCATCTCGTATCGTCACCCCCCCCACCCTCATCCTCCCACCCCCCCATTTCCCATCTGTGCCCTTCAGGCCCTCACTTCAGTCGCCTCCCACTTCCCTCTTCCTTCAGAACCCGTCTGTTTTTGTTTTCGAGCCTGGACTCTTTGCACAGGAAACTGTATACATTGGGAGCATTCAGGAAGGCAGAGAGCAGCTTTCCCGTTAGCTCCAAGTTTGGGCACATGGGGAAAAAAAAAAAAAAAATGAATAAAAGAGGTCAGTAATTCCTAAACCAGGAGAGAAACAGAAGTCAGCTGTTCTCCTCCTCCTCCTCCCCTAACTTCGCTTCCCTCCCCTCACATAGTCTGAACATTTCAAAAATCCCTGCCACACCACTGCCACGAGTCCATCTCAAACGCAGAATATTTTGAAAATTTCAAAGGGGAATTGGATTAAAAAATGAAAACCAGTGTTCATGAGGGGGTTTTCCTCTCTTGATGCTTGTGTGTCTCAGCTACAGAGAAGCCAGTGAAAAGGGGAGACTGTGTGGAATGAAGGAAAAGAGGAGGAGATAAAAAAGGAGCAGAGAGAGAGACTGGCTGGGGGTAAAAAAACAACAGGAAACCGGCCAATTCTAATGCTGTTTCTGCAAATCCTTCAGAGATAAAGCAGCGGACCGCCACGTCCGAGCAAACCGGCGCTTACACCATGTCTTTTCTTTGGTCAGCTCCTGTAGCTGGAACAATCTAAAGGACTTTAACTTTCGAGAGTGACGTCACTTCTGCTCTCAGCCTCCAACAGTGTGGTTAGGCAGAATGTGAGCGGATGCAGACTTTTGGGAGCTGTTTGCTGGGATTTCTGTGTGGCTTCTTTCTGACCTGCAATCTCAACCTTTTCTCGAGGTCATATGGATCAGTCGCCGTGCTTTCAAGGAACCTTTTGTTTTACTCATCTGGACCACTAACTGGAGCCACATGAAGAATAAAGGAACTAAGCTGAAGCCCAAAAAGAAAGGAAGTGAAAATGCGTTCGGCTGTGACCTGATAGAACATCTCCAGAGTTCAGGACAAGATGGTAAACTTGTTTTTATTTCTTCTTTTGAGATCAAACACTTCTTTCCTGGCAGCTATAGTTAAACTACACATTATTTCCTTTACTGACTGCTTAACTCAGACACAGATGGTGGCATTTATAGACAGGACTGAGCTTTATTAGTCATTTCCTTGATTATTATAGGTGTTTTAACCCTCTACACAAACATTATGTGGTAAAAGGAAGACAGGAAGAACAAAAAGTGTCTTTGTGTAACAAATACAGGCAGCCTTCAAAGGTTACATATATGCATTCTCACATGTGCTTTACATCGTGTAAAGCCATTCATTCACCCATTGGCTGCATTAAATAGTCATTTGTGACTTTGGGTGTGGCTCTTACATTTTTTGTGTCAATTTCCTATGGTGACTATAGTTCCTATGACTAATTTAGTGTCTGACAAAAAGACGGGGCGGCGCTGCTGCTTATAAGAATGAGCCAGGAAGAAGAAAAAAAAAAGAACAGAAACACACAAAAAGCATCATAAAATACCCAAGTGGTCAGGTTTGCATGAGAGTTTTTTTTTTAAATTCAGTTTTCCCCTTTTTCTTTTGTGGTGCTTTGTTCTTTTCTCACAACTGCCAGTTTTTGGCATGATGTATAAAGAAGAAGAAAAAGAAGAGTGAACAGAAGTCTCCCACGTGCACAGGCGTCTGAATAGCTGTGTTTAGGATAACTTTAAGGTAGACCTGCTGGAGTGGACGCGCTACAAGGCGGGACATTCGGCGCAGGAAGTGAGGGAGGAGGTTGGAGTCGTACCCCTCTGTCATGGAAGCAGCAGACATATTGTGCCTTCAGACTGTTGGTGCCTTTTGATAAATGACTGAATAGCCCTGCGAGCTACGAACAGAAGCACAAAGTAGAAGTTTAAATAACCATCAAAGGCTTGTTTATGTATCTGAGTGTTCATGATGCACACATGATCCCTGCACAGGCCTGCTTTAGTGTCTTAAGTGGTGGAATAAATCCCATTTTAGCATCACAGCTGCTCTAATACATCCAGCAGTGTTGAATTTTGGTTGAAGTTATCACAACAATGTAAGGTTGTCCACTCTATAGTGACATTTGTGAGAAAATACTTTTAATCTTTGCAGCTTAAACGTTGAAATATCTCAAATGATAAACATCCGTTAAGAATGATCCATGAAAAATTTTGCTTTTTATGAAAATGGGCATGAAACTCACACTTCACACCTCACTTAATCGTATATATATTTTTAATTCTTCACTTTATTTAGCACATTTCTACCATGTTGTCAGTGTTAAACAGCAATCACTTCACCAAGGAGCAGCTTCTGGAGCAGAGCAGAGCACAAACGTGACCAGTTTTATAACAAGGTTTTGTAAAACCAGAACCTTTAAAGGAGCTGAAGTCAACACACAACAATGCTACTGTAAAATGTGATTACAAGGCCGCAAAAAAAGAAAAGAGACACAGTAGGGCTGTTAAGGTCCTATTTTTAAGCCAAATACTGAGCTGCTGTCGCAGTTTAAGCGTTTAATGGGACGTTTAAGATTACTGTAGAAACAAACAACTTGCATCTGCTGACTCAGTAGCTACACAGATTTAAAAATGTTCTTCACCACGTACCATGTATCGATTTGATTTGATGTGTTGTCATAAGTATCTTTAAAAAAAATCTAAATTAAACTGTCTTTCGTTGCTAGAAGTCTTCCCTCGGTGCAGAAACGAAGAGGCACTAAATAGACTCCAGAGTTATTCATCATCCCGAGTTTGACCACAGGCATGCAATTGAAAATCCAATTAAGTCAAAAAGATGAGAATGTAAATGACAGATTGATGGTGTCTGTGGTGAGGACTGAGAAATTAACCATCGCCAGAAATATTCAGACGTTCATTTTTGTGGAGGATGGATTCTAAATTTTGTTTGCAACATCATCAGTTTTGCATTTAATGCCAGAAGACATGCAGATAAAACAGAAAGGTCTACAAAAGACGGAGGAATTACCAATGGAAAAGTCAATACTGGGACATTAAGGAATAAAGTAACATTCATTTATACTTATATGCGAAAAATAATAGACAGCATATGGAACTAAAACACTTCTTGGAAACAAGGTAGTCATTATACTTTATTTTTAAATAGACATTTATATGATACGTCATATTAAATATTAGTTTCCACCAATACTAGTTAGTATTAAGTAATTTCTTTATACCTGCTATGACAATAATTAATTAATGCTATATAATACTGAGAGGTTAAAAGTCAGTTTGTTGGTTCGTGTGAGACTGAAGATGTCAAATTGAATTAAATGTTGGATTGTATTGTTGTACTTTATACACTGAATATTGTGCCAAGATAAATCAACATTTTATTTATGTTTTTTTGTTTCTTCCTTTATGCACATCCTCAGTGAACTACAGTCCAAAGTCTGCTGATTATATGATTGTGTTGAACAGTAAAATAAATCCCAGTGTAATCCCAAATCCAGCAAAACCTGATTCTTCATTAGCTCTACATTTTGTAAAGATCAGCGACCTGTTTCTGTGCCAACGTGTGCACACATTAAATACAGCAGAGCTGGATTCTAAGCCACGCTAACAAACAGCATGTAAAATCAAAGTAAAATACTGCCGACTGTAGTCACTTTCCAAAAGTATACTGTCTTTATATATTGTTTCCAGTGTAATCAACTGGAACTGTAGTTGCTTGTAAATAAGATTTTCTTCCTTTAAAATGTATAAACACTGCTGTCAAGCAAACAAAAACCTTCAGGGAACATTTCTGCTTGCAGGGATGTGTCTTTCATATTAATGATCCAGAATGGAGATCTGTTTAAACTCTGTTTAACATTTAAAAATGCATATACCACCAAAACACCGAAAACTATGAAGGATAAGGAAAGTTTTAGGTTTATTGACTGAAAATCTTTTTCAGAATCTTCAATTTTTGACAAATTGTAGATTTTGGAAACCAAGGAAAAATAATTTAATGTAATATAGTCTAAGCCTGCTGTTAATGGTCAGTCTTGTTTCTGGCTCCAAAAAGAGCTTCAGATTTTTACATTTTTAACTGTATTTTAGAAAAACAGTCCTCAACTTTAAGAATTTGGTTGTATTTGAAGAGTAATTCATTACAGTGAATAATACGATTTTCTGGGTGTATTGATTTGCAGTTAATTGTTATTTTCAGTGTCTGAACATTTGATTTATTCCACCCTGATAAGCTACAGCTACATCTATGAAGTTTTGCAAAACATGTAGCCAAGGACAGTTGTGTACAAAACGTGACGCACTGTAGTTCAGAAACCTGTGTAGGTCACTGGTAACATTTCAAAAGCCTTTTTCTATTAGAGGAAATGTCGTAAGTAATACCAGCTACAACGACTGGGTGTGTCAACTTTCCTCTGAAACAAACAAACCATTTTTAACTTCCTGTCAAAGTCCACCTACAATCACCGGCCCTAAGGAGCAGAAAACAGCCGCGGTGGAACAAACCACATACCGTGAAGTCGACCTAATGTGCATTGTTACCATTGAAACGTTACATTTACAGCTGTTTCCTTCCCCTGCTTTTAAGATTAATTTGAGCATCAAGCCCGATGTGCATGTGTGCAGCGTAAATGGAGCTAAAACTGGAGAAAATCAAATGTGTTCAACTAGTGTCTGATTAATGTGATTTCTTCACTGAAGTTCCTCAGGTTCTGAAGAACTGCGCGGAGTTTATTGAGAAACATGGGATTGTGGACGGGATCTACAGACTGTCGGGGGTCACCTCAAACATCCAACGTCTCAGGTACTCGTGCAGTGTGTTCTAATGAGCAGTGATGCTTTTCTTTGGGTTTGCAAAATTAGATTGTCCCTCAGATGATGTTGTGAATTTGGCTCTCCAGTCATAAAAAGTACTTTAAAATCTTGGATTACGAGATGTAAGAGTGTCTGTATCACCTTTATACATATTCTCAATATTTTCTAGAGTTTAGAGTAAATAATGCACATAAAATTTGTCATTTTGCATCTTTGTTGCAGTTTTTTTCCTTCACAACAACATTAGTCGACGAGATAGACTGCAGTCTTGCCAGCCACATGCTGCAACGGTAGTTAACGGAGGGTGTCCAACAATTCAAGCATTCAGCTAACTCTGTGTGTGTTTGTGTGTGTGTGTGTGTGTGTGTGTGTGTGTAGGCAGGAATTCAGTTCTGAGGCGTGCCCTGACCTTACAAAGGAAGTGTACCTCCAGGACATCCACTGTGTGGGTTCCTTATGTAAGCTGTACTTCAGGGAGCTTCCCAATCCTCTGCTCACATACGAGCTATACAGCAAATTCACTGTGAGTACATTCACATCACATCCGCGGTTTTGATAAGGAGGGAGGAAGAGAAGGGGAGTTCTGTGTGACTTAGAAGTGGTTTGACAGCACATCTATTCTAACTGCATGCTTTACAAATAGTAATTAGTGACAGACAAAATGGCAACACCAGACATTAGTAAGCAGTATTTACTCCACATGATCCCTCGGTTAATTTTGGAGTCAGCGTGATACAAACCTTCAGCGAAGCCGCGGCTCTTTGGTTCAGCATTGATCAGCTGTTTTCTTCTCTTCTCTGCAGAAAACGGTATGATTTGCACATCTTACCGTAGGTGCAAAACAAAAGCTGTTGTGTTTTTGCACACTTGTAAGAAGCTGAAAGTTTTTCGTCTACGTGTATGGCGGCTATATTTGGCCTTCTTTGTGGGAAACTCTGTAAAAACCTTGTTCTTACACAATGTGTAACTGAAGAGTTTAAGCTTGAAAACATTTTGTTTCTGGCACTGTTGGATCACAGTGGAGTTTAAGGGTTGTACTGAAACAAGAGAAGAAGAAAAAACATTAAAAGTATGCATGGATCCTAAACTAAATCTAAAATTTAGCAGACAACCTGTGAAGACGAAATTGCCAAGACATGAGCTCCACATTTTGTACCACAGAGAAGCTTTCAGGCTCCATTTTCTGGATGAAATACAGACATGAGAGAGTCCAGAGCAGGGCAGGAGGGAAAACTGTAAGGCCTGGTTCATGCTTTCTGTGTAGCGTTGGTGTACCTTGACGGCCCATTTGCATACCTTGGCATTCGTACATCTCATGCTGCTCGTTCCTGAGAGCACCAGGAGTCCGGTGTTTTTGGAAAAATCTGCCCTTCACGTACTGAACTAGACAAAAAAAAGCACAAAAGATCACATGTACTTTCTTGTTTTCCGGGAAAGAATGAAATCTTCAGTTTTAAGATGGATGTTTTCATTTTCGCGTCTATTGATCTAACACTGTGTTTTGGATTTAACGGGACATGTTAAAGGTAGTTTTTCTACTTGGAGTGCAACACAAGTGTAACTGCTGTGTTTACCACCTCACGTAACAACTGCAGCTTGTGTGCTCAGCTGTTTGGAGCTCAGTCACGTTAGTTTGACTGAACGGATGTCTGTTTACATTTGCTGAGGAGGATAATTGAGTTGGGAGTCGAGGTAGAAACCTGCAGAATCAAACTGTGGGATCCATAAACCCACAGCTCATCAATACATAGATCCTGTTCACTGGTGATCTGGTGAAAAGAAAAGAAAACAGGTGTGAGATCTTGTTTTAGAGACTACAAACACAGAAATTCTCCTCGTATTTGGTAGCTTTTGGAAATCAAGTCATGAATCCATCGTCACAAACGTTGTGATCAAGCATCTAAATACTTCAAATATACTCTAGATGTGAATGTTTGTGTCTGTTTTACATGCAGGAGGTTGTCTCAGTCCAAGGGGATCATGAGAGACTTTTATACATCCAAAAGGTCATCAAAGAACTGCCGACTCCTCACTTCAGGTGAACTTCAGTCCTTTTTCGCTCTCAGCTGACAACACGAGTCATGTTTGCTCAGATTGACGAGTAACGCCTTAACAGTGAAGTAAGAAGTTTTTTATCAACTGTTCTCAGGACTCTGGAGTACCTGACTAAGCACTTGGCCCACCTCGCCACCTTAAGCACTCAGACGAACATGCACACACGTAACCTGGCTCTGGTGTGGGCTCCAAATCTGTTAAGGTGAGTTAAGCTTCACAGATGTGCCTGAAACTTAGAAAAGCAGATGTTTTTTGTGTGTCTGTGTGTGTGTTAATGCAGCAGAAATACTTCTGGTCAAAAAAAAAAAGTGAATTTTGACTTTCTGGCTCCTTTTGCGTCAAAGTATTCGTGCTGAAAGCTCTCATGCTTCTTGTTTTTGGAAAATATTCACATTTTGTTCTTCAGTTCAAGGGATTTAAACATTTCTTATTCTCTTAGATCTAAAGACATCGAGTCTTCATCTGGTAACGGAGACATGGCTTTCCAGGAGGTGCGGATACAGCAGTCGGTGGTTGAGTTTATTTTAAACCACACGGAGCAGATCTTCAGTGGTGATTCTGCACAAATTAAACCCAAAGAAGGTATGACATTCAGACAATATAAACACATTCCTTTGTGGGAGATCTGGTGCGCTCAATGATTTGCTAATTCACCACTGCAAATACCAACTTATTACGCGTCCCCAGGACCGAGCTTGATGTGTGGAGAGAAGTATGCGACACTTCCCATCAGCGGTCAGTGCGGGCCGATGAAACTGATGAGCCTGGAAGAAGCTCAGGCTCGATCCTTAAGTCCAAACCATCCCGTGCATAAAGAACGTCAGCGGGAGAACAGTCTGCCCGACACCAGCACTGCCACGCTCTATCACACCGTCATAGACATATCAGACAACAAGTAAGATCTGGTCATAGTCTTTTGAGTCACTATGATTTACAAACATGTTACTGGGTGTTTAAAATGCTTGTGTTTGGGGTTTATCTGGACCAAAAGTGTCCATATGTGTCTTTTAACTCAAATCAGGTACAAGCTGCCGGATATTAATGTTCTTAATGATCTTTCTTTGTCTGTTAGGAGAAAGTTTTCTGGGAAATCAAAGAAGTGGAAGTCAATCTTCAACCTGGGAAGGTCTGTGGACTCAAAAGGAAAACTGAGCCGGAACGGGAGCGTGTTCATCAGAGCACAGGGGATAACAGGTAAAGGGTCAAAAGCCAGAAACCAAAAATATCCAGGAGCATAAGCTGTAACTCACGTTAAATGTAAAGATTTGTTCTGAAATTATAAAGCTTTAAAAAGCAATGTTTCATCCATGTTTTGTTAAAGTGTTACAGTTAAAACTCCTGTTCATTTTTTCCACAGAAAAGGCAGCTCTTCGTCCATCCAGGAGCATGGAGTCGTTGTGCTCCTTACCAACAGGTGGGGCCAAAACCTTGAGATGGAATTAAAAAAACAAAGAAGGAGCAACATTTTTAGAATGCTGTCATTTTGCTAAATTAAAATGTTGTCTGCTTCATTCTAAAATGTTTCCTCTAAATGTCTAAACTGTTGCATCTTACATCTAAAGAGCACGTTAATACTTTTAGGATAGGAGCTGTTTCTCACTCATTGTCATTTTTATTGCACAGATGATGACAGAACAGGAAGCAATAGTCCAGCTGGTGGACCAGGAAGTATTTTCATTCCAGATGTAAAATCCAGAACGCTGGGATCCGACTCGCTCTACGACCTGAGCGAACACGACCAAAACTGGGAGTTTAAAGGGAAGAAGGCTGGTGGGGCAACAGGTGGCTGGAGCGCTAGTGTGAACCAGAAGGGGTCACCTGGTGCTTCAGCGCCTCCTCAGAAATCCCTACCTGAGCAGCTTAAGGTGTTCAAAGGTGATGACGGCGGCGGCTACAAGCCCACCTCTCCGAAAAACAGGAGGATGTTGTACTCAGGCAACAACAATAGCTCCTCCCGGCCCTCCTTTCCAGGAAGCTTCTTCCCCCTGGAGTCCTCGCCGAGGCATCAGCGCCGGGCCGTCAACATATCTGAACCTTTTGCTGTGTCCGTACCTCTGCGCGTGTCGGCTGTTATCAGCTCCAACAGCACGCCGTGCAGGGGGCTCACCAAAGACAAAGCAGCAACACTGAAACCCTGCAAGGAGACCTCGGAGCACAGCAGCAACAGTGGAAAAAGCAACACTTTCCCCCTACTGGAACCAAAGAAGCAGGAAGGAGCAGAGAAGAAAAACAGTGAGGAGCTGACCTTTAGAGTATCACCACAGGGTGAGGACATCTTCCGCTGTCACACTCAAAAATGGCTTGTTGTGTTGGATGTAAAATCATAGATGTGTAAAAAGATTAAATGAAAAAAAAACTGTTTTATGCAGATACAAAAAAGGAGGTGATGCAAGAAGGTAAAGCAGGGAGGAATATTTCTGAACTGGAACCGCCATCTCTCGCCAACGCAAGAGAAGGCAAAGATGCAGCGCCATCTTCTGGGAAAGAACCGCACAACCAGCCCACAGATACACAACTGGTAAAACGTTTGCACTAGATTACAGATGTTACCTTTCTTGCTGTTGGTGATGAATTGGATGACAAGTTTATATGTGTTAAAAATGGAATACATCAGTAGCTTCTTGTACTTTCATTCTTATCACTCGTTCCTGTTTTATCAAGAACAGCTGAGTCAAATCAAATGATTGGGATTTAAAGGTTAAAATAGCTGCACCATAGCCTGAATCTCAATCATTCTGCTTTATAATGAGAGATGAGCTACTTGGTTGCACTACTGAGTTGCAGTTTGGTAAATGCTTGTTGTTTTTGTTGACTGTCTTCTCATTTTCCCAACATATTTTGGCCTCATACCAATACGGTCACCAAATGTTGTAGAAGTGAAAGGTGGACTCATATTGGTTGTTTAATTCTTGCTGTTTTCATAATTTCTCAGGACAAAGGATCTTCTACTGGGAAAGAGCTGTGGTCTGACCTCCACCAAGAGCTGAAGATAACTGAACCTGAAATCGACCTGCTGCATGAGACGTTCAAACCAGTTTTTGTCTCAGCGAGCGAGAACACGAAGTTAACGATGGACGTGAAGTCGAAGCGAAGCCGCAGCTCTCCGTCTCTGTCTTTGCTGTGCAGGGAGCAGTCTTCAAACACCTCTCTGGGCGATCACGTAACCGCCACTGGATCCAACGCTGCGAAGAAACAGCCCTCAGAGTCGGACATCTTGCTTTCTCTTCGCAAAACCGTCGACGTGATTTCTGGCAGAAAGACAGAAAACGTCCGACCTGCTGACGTAGAGGATGAGAAAGAGAAGCAACTGCAAAAAGAAGCCGCGCCCTTAAAGAAAGATGATCAAGTTTACACTAAGCAACTTCCTGTAAAAGAAACCAGCTCAGATCAAGCAACAAATCCTCTGACAATAGAGGACGTTCCAGTGGTCGCAAGCTTCTCAGGTGCTGAAAATGTAGACAGGAAATCTCATGGGATTCCTCAAGAGCAACCGAAAACCTCCTGTGACGGAGCGAAGAAAGGTGTGAATCCCGAGGAGGTCATTCAGAGGCTTTCATTGTGTTTGAAGGAGAGACGTAACACCTTGGAGCTGCCGAACCTCGACGAAGATGAAGGATGTGGAGGAAACTCTGAGGAGCTGGACTTGGTGGAGCCCTGGGAGGATCTTAGCTCCACCAAGCAGTGGGTCACCAGCCCTCTGCACTCCCCTGACGTGGAGGAGCTCTTCAACCAGCTGTCACCCTTCAGCCCACACGGGGAAGCTCTGAGCTCAGAGGCGGGAAAGATTTCATCTCCTCCAGCTGATAACAACAAACAATCCCTCTCTAAGAGCACTGATCGCTTCTCAGGAAACTTTCCCACCAGCAGCAAACCAGACGCTAAATGGACGTATTTGCCGTCAGTACCCACACGGATGAGTGTGAACAGCAACAACCCGACACAACCTCAGACAGGGAAATGCAGCACAACCAAACAGAAGAACACAGTCTCATCTCAGAGGTTTAGCCGACAAATGTCTTGTGAGGCAGCTGTTTCGGAGAGAAGGGAGGAAAACTGCTTCTCTAAGCACAGGCCCTTCTCTCTGAACTTAGACATGGGGCACCGATACATCAGAGACATTTCCAATCAGCAAAACCGTAATTCGTCCGAGTTTTCTCCTTGTCAGAGACAAGCCTCGTCTGGACCCGTAAACAACGGGCTGCCCTCGGAGCTGGAGCTGTTTCTGAACGACCGGCAGGCGCCCCTTCGCCGAAATTCTGCCCCCGTCAGCGTGTCGTCCGTGAGGACGGCCTTCATGATTAAAACGTGCCAGGCCAAAGCTGTGCCCGTCATCCCTCCCAAGGTGCAGTACAGCCAGATCCCTCACTCCAGACATGAGAATGACTTCGACGCAGTGAAGGAGCAAGAAAAGGAATATCCTAAAATGATTGCAGAGAAAAGTAACTCTGCGCCTCCTCCGATGATGTCAGATCTGAAGGAGGAGCTGGAGAATAAAGAGCCAGGCCCCAAACACCAAAAACACCCAAATGTTGAAAAACCTGCTGAGTCAGGGAAGACCACATCCACCCCAGAGCTGCCCGTCATAACCAGGAGACACGCACCCAGTCTGGAGGTGTTTGTTGATTGTCCCAGACCCAGCAGAGGGAATCTCCTCCAAAGACCCTCCTTCAGGAACAGACAGAGGCCTCAGAGTCTGATCCTGCTCAGCCCTCCTTTTCCCATCATGGACTATCCACCGTCGGGGGACGACGGGAAACTCCTCAAGAGCCTGAACGACACGTCAGCAGTGAATGTCTTTTCTAAAGAAATGGCGGAGAATTTCAGGACGCCGGAGGGGATCAGCCTTCAAAATAAAATGACTATTCCAAAAAGCGGGCAGAGACTGGAAACCTCAACCAGCTGCTTCTACCAGCCGCAGAGACGCTCCATGATATTTGACAGCAGGAGCCACAGACAGATAGAGTGACCGGAGGTGCACTCAGACCGGGTGTATGTAAATAGATGCATAAGGAATCGGTGGAAACTGAGAGGAAGACGATGTGATGACCTGTTGTAAATCAGTGGATTTTTGTTTGCAGTGATTCACACATTCCTACAAAGATGAAGTATTGGTTCAGATAAAAAGGCTGATTAAAACAGGAGGTTTCTGAGAAAGAGGAAGAGGAAGCCATGACGTGTGAGAGACTGAGGTCTGGGCTGCAACTAAGAATAGTTTCGTTATTCATAAGTCTGCTTGTTTTTTTCTCATTTAGTCGATTGAACGTTTGGTCTATAAATTATCAGAAAATACCGTTAGTTTGCTGTCAGTCGACTTCTTGTTTCGACTCTACTGGGATCCATGTAGGAAATGTTTTTAATCGTGACTTGCGAATGACGTTTAGTTTCATTTTAGGGTTAAGTTACAACGTTGTGAGTCAAGCTTGTTCTGAATGGGATTGGGATGTGGGGAGTTTGGCGGCCTTGTTCGTGGTACATGGCAGAGTAACACCCACATGACCGCCAGGGTTCCCAGCAGAACACTGCATCGTAAATGAGGTGATTTACTTCACCTGTCAGTGGTTTTAAAGTTGTGGATAAGAATGAACGATTTCTACCTTCTCACACAGATAGTGTGTGGTGCTACACAGTCGCAGTATATCACTGCCAGATCTTCTCACAAGATTTAGAATACAGCGTCTGCCAAAAACTGTGAAGCTCACATCTGTTAACTAACAAATTTGGAGCTGGGAAGCATTTGTTGTGGAGGAAACACTGCCAGACTTTATACTAAGTATTTAGAGAGAGATGGAGCCTGAAAGTTCGTTTTTCACCTTGGAAACAGAAAAAAAACAGTCGTAACTCAGTTCACTTCGGGTCCAGTAATTATCTTTAACAAGAGGTTTCATCCAGTGGTGGAAGACGTCCCAGCTTTACTCGTGTAGAAGTTACACTGTTTAAAAAAACCCCAAATGTGTTCTATTTAAAATGAACCATCCCTTAAAATCCTGCTAAAATTAAAAGTATTATCAGCAAAATATATTACAATTATTTATTTTGCTATAAACTATCCCTGTGAGCTGTGTTTTATGGAATATGACAATATTAGGTTGTTCATATTGATGCAACAAAGTGGAAGTAAACTAGTTTAGTCCAGTGGGAGACATGTTGGCTACATCTGAGGGGTCAGAGATGATAAATGAGGAAAGAATGAAGAGCAAAGAAGTTTTATTGTAGAAAGTGGCATCCATATTTGGGACTTAAAATATAACTGGTTTAGATGTAGTGAAGCAAAGAGTGCAGTTCTTCCATCTGAAATGTGGTGGAGGAGAACAGTAAGGACGTAAAATGGGGGGAAAAGAGTTACAATTTTAGAGAAGTACAGTTATTGAGTCGATCATCGTTCCCATCAGCAGTTTTAATCACATCTCACGTGTTTTCCTCTGTGGGTGGATGTTACTCAGTTGTCCAGGAGAAAATTCAGGAGAACAGGAACCTGTAGTTTAGGTAGAAATGTAAGATTTAAGACTAAACCTTTTATGTATTGTTTGTCAAATTCAGGAACATTTGTTTTATATCGTTTACTAGAGCCTGTGAACTAATGAACTATTCCAGGTTTCCTTAAACCAAAAAAAAGAGTTCATCAGGCTACGTGAAAATGCTTGTGTCAAATCAGGAGGCTCTACAGTATTTAGATGGATTCTGCTGCAGCTCACATCTACTTCTAGAAAAATCCAATTATAGTCATTGTAGACAAACAAACCAGTCATAGTGTCAGAGTAGGAATTGTTCATATTTTCATGTCTGAGCTGAATTCATCCTCAAGGACTCTGAATATCTGAAATGTACAGTAAAGGTTAGCAAAAATGAAAGTGTTAAACTGAAGAACTGACAACTGAACTGTCAAACAACCATGAATCTGAGTTTATTTATTCCTTTATTAACGTACACGTGCTATAAAGTAAACTTGATACTTACACTATATACTGTATGTAGCGACCGGCTCTGTGATAAGCTGACGTCAATGTGACTTTTTTTTAAAAAAAACAACAACTAATATTTAAAAGAACAATTTCTATTTCTGATTTAAATACATCAGAAGCTCAATTAATAGTATTTAGCCACAGAAGGACTTTAATTCATACATATCTTGATTTTCTGTAATTGCTTTGGACTTTATTGCAGGTTTTGTTGGTGCTGTTGTTTTCTTTTTCTTTTTTTGGACAATCTTGGAAAAACAGCATTTGATGATATCAGAAGTGGAATTCTGGAGCTGCTCATCAGACAGTGAACTGAAGGTTGGACTTTGTGCGTGTCGACTGTATTCAATGCGTTTGGACGTTGATGGTGCCTTGAAATCTCCAGATTTTTCCTCACTTTTCTTCTCATTTGGATCTGATGTAGTTTCCTTGGATGCCATTTTTTGGGGGGTGAACACCATAAACGCAACAGTTTGGATGCTACATTGTATTTAAGATAACTTGGATGTTATTGAAGTCACAGTGATTTTATACTGTTTGGATGGACTGGCTGAATGACTACAGTGTTATTTGCAAAAAAAAAAAAAAAAGAAAGTTTGGATGTTAACAGAGATTGAAGTGTTTTTATTTGTTTTGTAACTCCTGTATGTTTGTTGATACTGAAACTGACTGACTGAACCGTGTGTATTCATAGGAAAAACACCTGAACTGAGAATTCTGAGGTGAGAGTTTGGCTTGAATTATCGGATGGTGGCACCTGAAGTAATGTACATAAGACGCTTGATGAGTTTTGTTACAACAAAAAGTTATGGGAATAAATAAGTTCTAAAAATCACATGAATCTCACCCACTTGCTGGTTTTTAACTTTTATCTTGTTAATGGTTTCTTGGGGGCTGCATGGTGGCACAGTTGGTAGCACTGAAGGTCGCTGGTTAGCGTCCTGGTGGGGGCACTGGGATCTTTCTGTGTGGAGTTTGCATGTTCTCCCCGTGCAGTGTGGGTTCTCTCTGGGTTCTCCAGCTTCCTCCCACACAGTCCAAAAACATGTTGAGGTTAATTGGTGATTCTAAATTGTCCGTAGGTGTGAATGTGAGTGTGCTTGGTTGTCTGTCTCTAAGTGTAGCCCTGTGATAGACTGGTGACCTGTCCAGGTGTCCCCTGCCTTCACCCTGAGTCAACTGGGATAGGCTCCAGCCCCCCGCGACCCTAGTGAGGACTAAGCAGTGTATAGATAATGGATGGATGGTTACTTGAGATTTCCACTGTGACAAACACATACAGTCGTCCACAAATGTATTCATGCCCTCCCATTAAAAAAGGAAGAATGTATATATTAATAAAACAAGCATGATGGGTACATTAAACTAATATTTTGTTGAATAACCCTTTAAAATAATCACTGCAATCAAGTGTTTTCTGTAACTCTCAATCAGACTTCTGCACCTGTTGACAGGTTTTTTTGATTTTGACCCACTGCTCATCAGCAAAGTGCTCTAATTTGTCCAGGACAGTTTAAAAAAAAATCTTTTCAACCACAATTCAAAAGAAATGTCTTTTTTCACTAAATTATAATTTAGCAGTTTTTTAAAAATGTATTATTACTTTTTTCATTTTCTAATTATTTGAGTGATTATTGTGAATTTTGCATTTTCTTTAATAGAAGGGTATGAATACATCTGAGGATGACTGTATGTAGCAGTTTCTTGAGAGGAACTAAATCTGCATGATTTGCACAATGAAACTGGTAAAATGACACAAATAACTAACTGCCTGGTTGTCAGAATGAAAGGTTATAGTACTCAAAGTGACAAAATAGGACTGATGTTCTTCACCAGCTATAGAACCTTGTTTACCGCTGTGTTTGCACATTACTGTCAAATTTGTTCAGCAGAGCTCTATTTACATGTCTTTTCTTCCTAAATTCAAATCCTTGCTTAGGCAGGTTTTTACTTTTCTCTCCCTATTTTAGCTAAAACCTGAAGTCATTGTCACAGAAGGCACAAAGATGCTTCAAGATGGTCCCCAAATAGTGTCTATGTGACGGTCTGGTTTGCTGGTCCACTTGTTATTAACTGTCTTATTAATCCTGGTAATACTGATACTATATGTTTGGATTAACAGCATCTTATTGGATGAGAATGTGTCAAATTGTCTCAAAACTTTCTTTCCTTTCATTCACAAAGCAGCCCACAGAAGAAGGGCCATGACACCAGAGACTGGAGGACTATTCAGGTGGCCATAAGGTAAATGTGGCCCCTTTGGAGGTCTGGTTCTGATTCTGGAGCTAGTTTGATGTGGTCCAGTTGTTCGCTCTTGTGGGGGATGTTTTAAAACTTTACAGTAAGATACACTTCATATGTTTTTTCCCCCCCAGAAATGTGGCTGCACATCTCACCGTTAGTCGTCCATCTCTGGTCTTTGCCACCAGATGACGCTCCTGCTCCACACTGCGGCTCCGAGCAGCAGCTGCGGAACAAACACTCAGACCTGCTGAAAACACCCAAACTCTGCGATTCAGGTACGTGAAGTCCTCCAACTAATGCACATGCACCGTGGTCGAGAAGACACTTCTGTCTTTACCTGCAGACAACAACAGCATCGATCAGTGAACCAGCTTCCAATATGTTTACGCGCGTTTGTTTGGTTACGCGTTACTTGTGCGTCCTTCTGTGAAGCAAAAAAAAATCCCCCAAAAACAAAAAAAAAACATACACTTCCTGGCCTCTTTTGCAAAAAATATTTCTCACTTTATACTGCGTGTTCCTGCATTATAAAACCACACTGAACTCCGTGCACTGTCACGACACAGAGTAATCCACCTGTAGAAACCACATTTCTGTTATTTCCTGCAACAGCAAAGAGGGTGCACAATCACAGAGTGCATTAGGGCACATTACACACGAGCCATGACACAAAAGTGTTTGTTTAAAGTGATCAAAAGCCCACTAAACCACATGTTACGTAATTTCTTTTTACCTGGACATTACACATAAGCGCCTTTTTCCCGTTGCTTCCAGCGGCCATCTCTTTGCGCAGGTGGGCCTCTTGTTCCCAGCTTTTCTCTCTCTGATTCTAGTATTTCCTTTAACATATGAACTGGCTGCAGAAAACGCCGCCACACAACTGTATTTTCCATCCAAATCTAACATTCCGGGCACATTCAGAGGTTTTCACTTTGCAGCGGTGGCGCTCGCTGAGGTCTCTTCCATGTCTGCGCAGTTCATTATTTCTCGACCTTTGACATCCGCTGCTTGTGTATAGGCCGAGAATTAAAAAGGCGTATTCTGAGCACACTGAAAAAGGCAAGCAGAGCACGGTGCGCGCGTTGAATATTCAATTAGACAGAGAGAGAGAGAGAGAAAGAGGGGGGAAACCGAGGAAAGGAAAAAAAAAGTGAAGCTGCGTGCCAGTCCCTTCATCTTACATTACTGATTAGCTGTTAAACAGATTATATACAGCTGAACGGGTTCAAATGTTGCAGCAGAAAACAGCCCGAGTTCAAGGCAAGCGACGGGCGGTTTCCTTCCTTCAGCACTTCAGCCGAACTGAACACACTTTGTCGCCAACAACAGCTCCGTAATGAGACACGCTGCTGTTCCGTTTCTTTTTCTTTTTCTTTTTTAACAACAAAAAAAAGACAGTCTGGATCAAATGAACCTGTTTCCAGTCCAGGGATGCAGCTGTAAAGATGAAGCAGCACTAAAATACAGAAGAATACACCTGTAACACAACACAGATTGTTAGAAAATGCATCTTCAATCTCGATCATATTGCAAAATTTAAACTTTTTCCATTTTTACGCCACACAAACATGCTCGGATCTTTATCTCAATAAATGTGTTTCTTGTGGCAGATCCACTGGCCAAAACGCAAAATAAAAACTCCACACACGCACTGGAGTGATTAAATCTTCACATAAAAGTGTTTTTAAGCATTAAATCCTTGTTTAAAAAGTATTCTTTCTAAAAAAAACACTTGCAACAAAAACTCACTACAGGCGACGGAGGAAGTCTGGAGCAGCTCGCATTTGTCCTTTAAAGTGGCTAAACAAGCACGTTTAAAAATGCATTAAAGTGTTTAAAAGTTTATAAAGTGTTGTGTTAAAGTTAGCAGGTCGACTTGTTAAGGTTTACTCCACACTTTTATTAAGCTTGGATAAGTTTAAAGTAGTTGAATGTGCAGTGCCACAGCAAGCCACGCGGGTCCAAAAGAGCTCTCATTGAGAAGCCACGTGTCCGTTTCCAAAGCCTCTCCAACTTAACCACCTCCTTTGTACGACTAACCCACATCGGCAGCGTCCCTCCACATAAAGGGATTTGCAATTTCAAGATATTTCAGCTTAAATGTTTTTGACAGTTCCCTCGCTTTTACCTCGGCTTGGTTATTTTAACTGTGCCAAATGGGTCACCTTGGGTTGCTGTCTGCGCGCAAAGGGCTTTTGCGCGCATTCAGTCTGAATTTTTTCCAACTTTCCTTGACGGGGAAACCAGCTGCTGGTCGTGAAAAGACGGCTTATTAATTGTCCTTTGTCATGCAGAATTGCTTGATTTCTAAAGAAACGTACAAAGGCTCTTTTTCAGGATTCAAGTATTTTGTTTCGTGCGTATTTTCAAACCATCGAATCAGCTGCAGCGCCGCGCCGTCTACCAGACTCTCAGGTACTGACTGCCTGCTCCCTTTGTCCCCTTTTAATGCTGTTGTAAATCGTGCAGACTGATTTGTTACAAGCTGTTCTTTTAATCTGATAGATAAGAGACATGTCAAAGAAAAGCCGTAAATAAAAAATTAGCCAGAATAAAGACAAGGGCGAGTCTGCTAGATGGGCGCCTGTTGACTCAAGCGGCTCTCCAGCGTCAGGGGAGCCCTCTCCTCAGCTCCGTCAAGGTTACGTCCACAATTCCCTTTTCTTCTTTTTAAAAAGACACCGTAGTCCTTTTTGCTTCAATGAATTGATCGGCACAAAATTAAGAATAAATAAATTGAGCATTTGGAGCACCGAGCGTATAAGCTCCCCCAGGGCGCATACCCCCGGGCTATTGAATGGATAAAGGGCGCTTTGCAGAGGACGTTGTGAGCAAAATGGGGCTCTATGGTGCAATTAACAAAATAGTCTAATCCCATATCTTAACAAATGCAAATATTAGAGTTTTGTTAAAATGGTTAAGTGAACAATTAAATGAAAGTTTACAAGCGAAACTCCACATCCAAACCAGGCATACTGCTGCAGATAATGTGCAGTACGCAATTTAAGAACAGTTTTTACTCTCTTTAAAAAAGTCTGGAGATACGTTTATATGGAGGCAAATATAATTTAAAGCCTGTTCAGTCTACTAAATGTAATTTTGACAGGCAAAGCTTCAGACAGAGAGCAGGTGTAGCGGTGCGTAAAACAGGCGATCAAAATTGGCAACTCCTCGTTTGGTCTTTTCGGAGAGCAATTTATTTTATTAGATAAAATATGTTTTAACTACATTAAAAAATAAATACATTACACTCTTTGTTAGGCTTATTTTCAACCCGAACAACATTTTAGCTTTCACCCAAAAGGCTCAATTTATATTTAAGGGTAGCACGTATTATTATTACATTTGGCACATTATTTATTTTTTGTGGTTTCAACAATTTCCACTAAATAAAATATATGCTAATTAATAATTTTGTTATTTGCCATTTAAAGGATAATATTGCCTGAGTTTGAGGAGGTTTGTGTGAGGATTTAAACACACCTGGAGCTCATAAAACCGGCAATAAACTTGACCACGCTGCTGCGTTAACAATAAGAACAATCTGGGTCATGGACACCAGACTGTGTCTTTTCCTCATTTATTTTCATGTTAGAT